AAGAAGTATTCGAATTCGTAGGGTAGATGTGATAAGGAGTCAGTAGCAATAGGTTAGCGGAATACTGGGCGTTCGAGTTACTTCTCGGCTCGAAATAAAACTATTTACAGGTATGTAGTGAAAAGGACAAAGAACATCCGACTCCGTGCCCACCTTCTCAACTCGACGACTATCCCTTCTCTAGCGTATGCAACAGAAACCTGGTCGCTAGGTAAGCAGGATGAAAGATCACTTGGCATTATTGAAGCGCCGTCAAAAGGTCGATGCTAGGAGTATCCCGTATCTCGCAATTGAGAGAAAGTATCCGAAGTTGCAACCTACGTCAACGATCGAACATTAGAGACGCCGTTCTACACGCCAGGATATCGAGAATCAGGTGGGCCGGACACGTGATGCGCTTCAACGACAACCGATGGACGAGAGCCGTTACCGACTGGATTCCTCGGGACGTCAAGCGCTCTAAAGGAAGACCACTGACCCGTTGGTCAGATTTCTTCACGAAAGCGATAGAAGAAAGATGTGATGCTCAGCGAATCCCTAGAGCGAGGAGGACCCACTGGGTTACTCTTGCACGCGATAGGAAAAAATGGAAGTGTTGCTGGCACCTGCTCGAATCACTCGACGATCAACGGGACGGCAAGTGATACAAGTGATAGGTATAGTTTCTAGCGCAGGATATGTCTTTGCGTCTGTCATCGTTACTCGATTCCATACTGGTTGGCAACACTGGGCTACAAATATTGTCACACATCAGATTCTCCAAGTGTTGAACAGCTTATGAAATCGATAAAAGTGCACTATTACAAGGTCTGAGAATAAGCCAATGAGAAGTTTATAAGAACTGCTTGAAACAGCAAGAGTGCGAAAATGGGAACAGAGAACGACAGGTTGAGCTCCCTGTATGACATCTTAGTTAAGCGGAGTTTGCGAGGATTATTTGAAGTCAATGATAGAGAAGGTTTTTGAGAGTTCCTCCACCTGTAAAATCTGATAGAGCTTCTTGTGCGCAAAGTTTATATACGGGGCAACACAATGGCTTGTACAGGAAGTACATTTGCGCCAACCAATAGCTTGTGAAAGCGTACACAAGAAGGCGATGCTATAGCTCCTAAGGAAACTATATGGGAAAGCAACACAATAGCATGTGCCAAAAGTTCATAGGGGAACTATGCGACGAAAACTGCACGAATCGTTAGGGTATCGGTGAAGTCCGTTCTAGGCCTCGGTCTAGGCCCGATTTATGGGCGCGATACAGTGATAGAGGGGTAGTATCGCTCTCCGATGTTCTCTGAGCCAGTTGTTTGTTGCGCTTACATCACGAATAGGGATATATTGGATGGCTGTACTCTCGGAGGAGGGATTCTCTTTGATGATGTGAGCTGCTAAGTATGTTTCTATGGAGCTGTCTGGATTGAGTCTCCCGCTCGTGTATGAAGGAGATCGAAGTCGTAAGCGACGGCCATCGGAGCTGTCTCATAGAGTGTATTTGCAGCCGTAGTGCTGACGCTTGTGACGAGGAATGAGGGTAGTTGTGAGATGATGTTGGTAACTAGCCATCTGAGAAGACTTGGGGTAGTTCACGGTCTATCGGCGCTTGGCTGAAGGATATCTCCATGTCTTGGCGATATGTGGAAGTCCATGGCCTGCACCGGTCTGGACCCTCACCTCCCTGAGGATGAGCAGGTAGATCATAGAATTAAATTTTCCGTGAGACAATCAAGAAAGGGGGGGGGGGAGCAGTGAGCCGACATCGACAGGCATCGAACTCCTAGGATCGTGCCCGTCGACACCGACGTCCCCACCTCCCTCCACGTTATTCCGACAGTCGCCTCTGCGTCACTCACCGCCACCACTCTGCATCTTTGTGCTCTACTCCTGTCTACACCACAATCGATCAGCCCTGAAGCGCGCACCTGCGCCTGTTGTTCTCCACTTGTTTACTTGTTTACGTGTTTACGTGTTTACTTGTTTATTTACTGCTTGGTTCATCTGTTTGGTTTTTAACAGGACTCCCAAATTCGATCTGTTGAGAACATACGACAAGACAGGGAGCTTTTCCAACTGGTAACTAACGACGAATGGACGAAGAGATTTGATTTTTTTCTTGGATTTTCGGCGCTCTGTTGTTTCTTATTTTTCTCTAAATTGACTTTTTTCTCGGCTTTCGTGGAGAGTTGTGGTCTCATCAATTTTCCATTAATTTTTTTGATTGATTTATTTGAATGAGAAATTACGAGCGGCTTAGGCTCAAGCTCAGGCTTTTGCTTAGACAAAGTTGATGGGACCACAACTCCCCACTGCCGTCTTCTCCTCCTGTCTAAGATAGCTACCAGCTTACGTAAGATTGTATACCCAGTGATGAAGAGTGATGTGCAAAACTTATCCCACCTAACGCACCAGCGTCGATTGCGCAACGGTTCAGCACGCGCTCCCGGAAAGAGTGAGATCTGGGTTCGAATCCCACCTAGCGGAGAAGTTTTGCACATCACTCTTCATGACTGGGTTTGTTATGATATCATTACCACGGCTAAAATCGGGCAAATAGAAACAATTCTGGTTGCTTTGCGTAATATCATCGTGGCATTTAAGGGTAACTTGTGAATGAGTGACCTTGAATTAAATCACTTTAACTGCCTGATATACGAATCTGTTAGCCATAGAAGAGAGGATAAAACTGCCCAGTCATCAGGAGGTGGCGGATTTTCGTCAAATTTCAAGGGTTTTCCAGATTTTCTATTTTGCGAATCGCCTAGAGAATTCGATATTTTCGTAGTATCGGAGTGCCTTTTGACCCTTTGAGGATGAGACCTTTTTTGCTCTTCCCTCAGACATTAGAGCGCATGTAGCGCAGTGGTTAGAGGTGCTCTGCGTGGCATACAAAGTCGATGGTTCGATCTTGAGCTCAGGGTTCCCTAAATTATCCATCCCTCTGGGATCGGTAAATTGACGTCAGATTCTTTCCAGACTTGTCTGAGAGGGTAAACAGCACTGACTCGATACGGCAGTAGGCCACCGCGATTCATTACAAGGACCAGATATATATTCAGTCACCTCTAATGAGCTAGAAATAAGACGAATGCATGGAGCATTCCTCAGAAAATCATCAACGCCGAGACGTTCATCCTTCGGCTTTCTGTCCTGAGACATTTAGTAGTCGTTTGAAAGCTCAAATTTTGGCGATTTTAGTAGTAGAGCTTTTTTCTCTCAAAGAAAAACCTCAGGTCGCTGTCGCGGCGAAAATAAAAGCGGTACTTTTGTTTTGGATAGCGACGAGCGAATATCCGACCTCATTCGTAGGACAAGAATTTCCCATAAAAATGTTATTAGTCATTCGAAAGCTTAAGTCTTGGCTAGATCCTTATGTGACCGGTTTATCAGAACACCCTTCTATAATGCTGTAAGATTCAAAATAAAATCTTGTTTTGCACGACCACACTTTTTTTTCTTATCTCGCTTTTATTTCGCTGGACGAAACTCCTCTCATAGCCAGCTTGTACTCTTTCGATAGCACTAGTCTCGATGGACGCAAAAAATGTGTTTGTTTCCAGGAAAAATTCTTCTGATATCGCTGTAGAAGAAAGAAAAGATTTGTACTCCAAACCTCGCCTTACAAATTCTTTCTTCGGTCTATTAGCAATCATTCGATAGCGTAAGTTTCAATGATTCCAACTCATGCTTATTTTTTGGAAAAAATCGTAAAACTGCAGTGTAGCAGGGTATATAAGATCGAATTTCACATATTCGGTGAGCTTGTTTACCGACTAATCTACGCGTTTGGGGCGGGTGAATCGATCGATGAGCTGACCGGTTAGACATGTGGTTTGCAACTTGTTATTCAATTCGGAATTTTTTCTTCGCTTCGAAAAAGAACCTCAGGTAAACCGATTGACTCAGATACTACGAAATTTTCTCTACACGTTCGTGTGCTTTTAGTGCTTCCAGCCAATCGTACGCGTGATAAAAATGAAGGCGCGCGGCAGGTATGAAGCATAATTTTCTTTTGAATTTCACAGCGTTATAAAAGGATGCTTTGAAAAAGCGGCCATGTACGGCTTTAGCCAGATGTTTAAGCTTTCGAATGATTTCTAACACTAATATGAAAAATTCTTGTTGATGAAATGGCGCCGAATATTCATTTGTTGCCGTTTGACAGAAAAGGACCATAAAATCACGTTTTATTTTCGACACGCGCCTTTTTTCTCAGGCTTTTAGTAATCATTCGATAACATAAGTCTCGGCGATTCCAATAGTGTGCTTGCCTCATGAAAAGGCAGGTTTAGTGCACTGTAGCAGCAAAAATAAGATTGAATTTAGCACTCAGCGCGTATTTTTCGTCGGCTAAAGTGCGTGCATGGGACTTAACAAGTCCAGAAACGTGATCTTAATTACGCTGCTACAGCGCTCTATGAAGGTTGTTCCAAAGAAATGCTATAATCTGAAATCTCCAAGATGATTAGCAAAAGTCCGAAAAAAAGAACGCAAAAGGTTCTTACCTCAAAGGTTTGAAAATATTATTTCATCCTTAACGTGCTCTCGTAATTTCTTATTTGAAGAAATCAAATCAAAGAAGTAATACCAAGATTTCTTGTTTTTGATGCTTTTTCGCAGTGTTATTTTCCTTCTCTCCTCTTCCCTTTTTCTTTGTCACCCCTGTCCACTACTTATTTGGTATAGATGTTTCACCTAATTTCCAAGTAGTGTTGAGTGGTAAGCAAAAATTCGCGTACCACGCGTCCCCGGTATGGACGAAACGCGGGTTCAACTGCCTTCTGAGGTCCAATTTTCATCTACAGCTCAATTCTTTTAGAAATATTTGAAGCATCATAACTCTGCAAAAGAAGAAGTAAAACCATTAGGAATCTTGGATTTATGTAAGCGCAATGGCTTTCGTCTTAACTGAGCCAATAAACGATTTTGCTCACCCTCCCAAATCTGTTAATGGTTTATGGCTGATAGCTGTGATAGAGAGATATTGAAGAGTGAGTTGTGAGTAAGCGATGGCCTCAGTGGTCTAGTGGTAGCACACGTCCCCGCCATGGATGATACGCGGGTTTAACTCCCGTCTGAGGTCCAGTTTTCGCTGACCACTCAATTCTATTAGGAATGTAAGAGAAAATACTTTAGAAATTGGTGAGATCACAACTCTCTGCAAGGGCTAAAGATGCTACCACGATTTCCATAATCTTTTAGTATAGCCGGATTCTCATTAGCTCCGTCGCTATCTCTGGTTTCCTTCCTTCAATCATCTAAGTTTCTGTTCTTTGTCGTTTAACGATATGTTCTCCAACGTACCTTTACTGTTTTTCTTTTTCTATCGAGTTTTTATTTCGTAACGTCGTTCGATGTCTATTAGTCAATGTTGTCGATTTGTAAGCACTAATATACAGGAGCTTTAAAAGACATGTTGTAATCGACTAAACGAGACTACCAAGCAGGAAAGGCTGTGAGTTTGATTGTAGTATATCTGTTGGAATAGAGTTCACATTTTCCTGAATCCTCTACTCTGATAGCTTTCCGGAAACGTCCTATTGGATTGGAAAGGAATTTTCCGCACTTTTTCGTCTTTGTATATTATTTTTCATGCATTTAAGTCTTTGTTTCACTATTGTTTGTGGAAGCTTTTTGCGGTTATTTGGGTATATAATGATGATACATATATCTCAAAGTGGAAATAATCCGAAAGCAATAACGATTGTTGGTGCTACGCTAGTATCGTCTGAGTTCAAGTGCTGCATTGGCACGCGACGATACTCGTGTAGCATCAACAGTGGTTTTTACACTCAGGGCAGTCTGGAAAATTTCCTGCTAACCCAGTAAATTCTTTCGAACCGCTTCCTTGATACAGATAGAATGACCCTAATGACTTATTTCTCAGCCTAGATGATGAGCTCTCGAGCTGAGAATGGTTCACATAACACACGGAAAACGAATGTTTGGCGCCCAAATCATACATGTTTGGTGAGTCCTTACTAATATGATTGTCCAAGGAAACTTAATAATGTTTAGAACAGATGTCCAAGATTATTGATCCACACCGTCCATATGTCTCGAAATCCTTACGCAACACTGTGAACATTATTTAGGGGCCCGGAACTTGAAGTCTTGCTAACCGGGTAGAATTTGTCTTGTTACTTTAAGGACGATATGAAAAATTTGGAAGCTCAGGTAGGAATTTAACCCGCATCTCACCCTTTTCGGGTGAGTGTGCTAACCTCTTGCACTACGGCGCCCTTGTATGCTATCACTCTTTCTATTATACAAAGTATGGATTTGTTAATAACCAACCGGTAACTGTTTTGTCTGGTGAACACATACCGGCCATTGTTGGATTTGCAATTATGATGTTAACCAGCCAAACGGCGGTTGGATAAAGTAATTCCTGTTGATCATCTATTTAGAGCAGCTGAGAAATTATTTTACCTCTTTCGAACTTAAGTCAACATATATCAATCTGTAATGCTTTGACAATTACGGGAGTCTGATTTCTCAACGGAAAGAAGTTATGTTTTTGTACCAAGTCACAAGTGTAGTTCTATAAAGTCAGCGTAGTACGTGTCTTTCACTTTTTCTCGTGAAGTCTCATTTTTGGAAATGGAAACGCTTGAACAAGTGCAATTTCCTTCATCAAAACAGGATGGTCTTTCCCAATACATGGTTTGTCGTTAGGCAGGCTGTGCTTGCGTTTGAGATCTAAATAATCAGAAGTTACTTTTGGATTCGTTGGAGATTTCGATTTTCAAGTAATCAGAAATGAAACAATTTTCCATCGGTGAAGTTTTCATCTGCTAATATTCACGAGTAATTCTGGAGTTATCGGCAGTTGTTGAAAAATCATCTGTGGGTGTTTTGTTAACCCACACGCAACAATGTGGCCTCTAGAAGACTCATGCGTTGCGGAGATAATGCCCCTTTTCACTTTATGTCATCATATCTCAGTTGACAATGAGTTTCAGTATTTCTAACAAGGCAGTTAAAATCTGCATATCTTTGTCTACGTGATTAAATTTGTCTCACTTTATCTCCATGCGATTGTGACTTCGTGGAGCTTTGATATACATACACGTATATATGCATATGTATGTACATATATACACATGTATGCATACGTATGCATATATATACGTATATATGTACATATGTATATATACATATATATATGCATTTATAAGTTTCGACATTTTTTTCAACTTCAGAGTTGACATCTCCAATACAAAAACAAATTTACAAGCAGAATTTCGTCCAATATTCTGCCCTAATGTTTCTTAAATGTATCGTTCATGTTCACAACTTCTGCGTTGAGAACCCTAAAACATTTATGCTTTATTTTCCTTGAAAATTGTGGTTCTGCATCTATTTAAATTCCAGTGGGAAGAACTCGGTATAGAAATCAAATATACGATTAGTACGTTAGGGAGATGTATCCTCTGTATTTCTGTGAAATTCTCAATTATTTGAGCACTTTTCTGGTTGAGAAATATTGCCAGCTGTAAAAATCTGTTTCGTCGCTAAAGCGTCAGACAAATAAAAAAAGTAAAATCCAGTGCTTTTTTGCAACCAGATACTGATAGTCCCATTCCTCCAAGTCGAAACCTCTGCTTTACATGAGCTATCTGAATTCTTTGTTCGTTGCAGCTCTTGTACCGAAAACAGAAAGAATTACATGATTGGGTTTCTTTTGACAGGGCACGCTGACATTTTTTCAAGTATCGCTTTTGCAGAGCGCGTGTGGGAAGGGGCTAGAGGTGCTTTGCGGCACATAATCGACCAATGGATGGTCGATGGTTCAATCTCTTGCTCGAGGCTCACCAAGCTTCCCATCCCTACGCTATTGGTGAATTGGTACCAGAGTAGCCAGATGAGCATTTAAACACCTCAGTCGTTGCCAGATGAAAGCTAGTGCACAGCAAATGCTTCTGGGATTGATCAACGCCGAGAACTTTATCTTTTTTATCGTTTTTTTGTTTCGGAAAATTCCATATCAAGAAAAAATTTGAAGCTGAAAAGAAGAGAATGCTATACAAAATTTCTGTACATCTAGAGCAATGCAATCAAGCAACTTTCTCAAATCTATGAGTGCTCAAATCCTCCATTGCTCCAAAGATTTCAAACGGTGAGGGAGTTTCGGCCTTAACTAACTCTGAGCTATGCTCCACACATACGGCTTGTTGTACGTCTCTCTTTGGAATATTCAAACCAAAAATAGCCTTATTGAAGTCTCTTCAACCATATTCAGTCAACCACTCGCTGACCTAATAAACCCCAATTAAAGGCGATGAAAATCTAAATTTCACTAGAAATCTGTTACGTTGCTATTCACCGCGCCATCATGCCGCCTGCGGCGCAGAAAACGCGGTTCCCATGACATGCCGATGTATTGAGTGCTGCGATCTCTCTAGACAAGCCTTGTACCAATTTTCCGACCGCAGAGAATTGGAACTTTTGATGAGATATGGACTTTCATCGAGTTTCAATCAAGACTTTGCTTGTCCAGTCACTTCGACTTTTGGGAATTCGCTGTCCTTGTTAAGCTCCAGGGATTGAAATAAAAAATAGACGTAATTTCTGGGCTCCAACAATTGATATGATAGGTGTTATATTATGAAAAGTTGTTTGGATTCAGTCTGAATATTTGCTGATTTTTCTTTACATCAATAGGTGAAGTTCACTTGAAGTGAGAGATGTTGGCTTAAACTTGAAAACTAATATTTTTTGTAGCCATAAGCGATTGTAAACGATTCATATGGTCGCCATTATCGTAGACTTTTAATGTGATTTAGGGCGACTTTATTCCCGACATCTTTTTTTTTTTGAGAGAAAGAGAGAGAGAGATAAGCCCCTTCAATCGTAAGATCAACTAACAAACATTTAATGAAAATGTTTTTGCCTTTGATTTTTGTTCATTTTGCAGATATGCCAGGATGTCTGCCCATCACCTCGTGACAAAGAAAATCACGAAAACCAGATGAAGCATAAAAGAGTGAGGGCGTCTTCATAATTCTCATGTTCGACCGTTAATTGATCGATTCTGAGATTTTTTTTCCAGAAACTCCTCGTCTATGATTTTTTCGCTAAAGAAGTCCCCAAATCCCAAAAATTTATTGGATCTTCTGTTCTTTGGAGACGGTACACTGCTTGCGATGAACAAGCGATGGGTGAGATATTTAGGGACTTGTTTTAGTCTCAAAGTAATGCTGTGATTTGGAAAACCTCAAGTTAGGCCCAAAGCTTTATCTTTTTACTCTGAAGATTGGATATGAAAATAGTAAGAAATTTTCAAGGCCTAGAATGTCTCCACGAGCTGCATTTCTCGTTCACTTCGATGCCTTGGTGGGCATGTTCAATTTGCTATGAATCGGGTGTACTTATGGAACAGGCAGACATGCACGTTTTCTCAATGAGCCACATCGAAACATATCTGGTAAAATTGTCCGGAAAATATTGTCTTTGCACAGTTCAATTTCCATAATCGTCTTAATTTAACCAATATCTTGTTTTTTTGTTTGTATAGGATGAATTCCATTCCGATAAATTTTCCAAGGCAAAGATGGTTGAAGATCCACTCAAAGTATTCGATGAAATGAAGCGTTTATGCAACAAAGTCTTTGAAGAACAAGGTTCTATTTTGCAAAAGTTGATGTGTTAGATTGGGTTGCCAAATTTCTGATCTTTTGATCTGTGTTACGATATTTCTGCTCTTCTGTTTTGTATTTCATTTGGTGGAAGGAGTTTTAGGACGGGAGAATCTGCCACCTGAATGTTTAATCATGGATTCTCACATCACGGGAAAGGATGCTATGACAAGACTTGCTGTCAAATCCTCCAGTTATCAGCCATCATATAATTTACATATGGATTCTCGGAAGAACGGAACGACAAGAAAAATTTTGGAGTGTTTGGTACGTTTAGGATATCTTCGAACTCAAAAATCATATGTTTCGATATGTCTATCTAGCTCTTAACGTCCAGAGATTCATCTATAATACGTATATGCATGTTTACATGCGTACATGTGCACACATATGTACATATACGTGTCTACATATGAGTACACATAAATATGTATACATGTAC